TCACACCTTACTAAGTCGTACTCTACAATTGCTTATATTTTGTTACTTTTAATGGGAATATTAAACAACAACAGACAAAGTAGGAACAATTTTTTGAGCGCATTTGCAGCAATTTGACTCCATCCGGTCAGCAATTTTCAACAGAAACAATCAAGATTACAAGTCGGTTCAAAAAATGACATTTCAGTCACCCCACTCTGGTTTCTGGATAGTGTCAAACTGCTATAAATAAGCACAAAACTTTTCAGGAAACCTTGGTACCCGGGTAAGGACATTAAAGAGTTATCCACTAAGATGTTTGCATTGTTTTGCATTGTTTGAGTAATATATCACTAGAAAAGTAGGTAAAATTTGTAAAATTCCACGTTGACTTCACCCAAATTCCACATTGAACATTGCGTTTTGCCAAAAAGACACCGTTTATGGAAAAACAATTGAGCAACGACACTTATAATATTTATACAAAGATACACACTAGATGCTACGAGTCTAGAATAAGAATAGACACAGATACACTACATGCTACATAGAGGAGATAATGATATAGAATCAATTGACACACAGGTAACAGAAAATTAAAAGAGGGATGACTAAAATAAAACACGAGTTTCGCCATTTCTGCCTCTAGTCCAATATATTATGATGAATATCAAACTTACTTTGTATCTAGGACGCTGAAGTAGATATTTGTAGACATGAATGAAAAATTTACATTATATTTCATGACAGATTGCTGAACTGAATTATAGAGAATTAATTAAAAAACTTCTTCAACTGATAGTTGGCTGTTTTCAGGTTGATCAAATTGAAATTCTTTTGATAAATATTTCCCTTTTAAAAAATTGTGGACAAATATTTTCTCTTTCAATTCGACATTTTCAATATTCTCTTACTGAGTAGTAGACTCTGGTATTTAACATTTCCATCCACTACTTCTAATAATTCCATCAATGTTCACCATAAAAGTATTCAAGTGAATATCCCGTTCAGAAAGACAGAAAATGCGAAACTAAAAACAATTCAGAAACTGTGCTGGTGATATTAAAGCGGTGCAAATAGCGTAGAAAGGAATCAAAAGAAATCAAGGATATTTTACGTTGCTTTGAAATTCCAGTTCTAGGTGTTCTAGGAAAACTCACTACTATAACCTGAAAATATGTTACACCTTGAACTGGAATTGTTATTAAATATGTTTTATTTGTTTACATGATGTTATACAAACTTTGGTCGGTTGTTGAGAAGTGAGGTTAGACCGAGGACAAAAATAATAGAAAATGGTGCTTGAAATTTTGGATACATTGGATATTACACCCCAATTATTCATATCTGATTTAAATACTCAGTAGTCACTTGAAAACACTTCATATTGTTAGTATCTTGAGGTGAATTATATGTTATAAAATCTTAGGAAAGATGCAATATAGCGAAATATTTTAAGGTTGTTGATGCAATGTTGCTCAGATATATATTTTTTCGGCTGGTGCCATCTTGAATTTGTTATTCAAATCAATTGTTTCAAGAGAGAGAATAGGTGAATTGAACATTCCAAATGGCTTTTTTTGTTGGTAATATTCAGTTAATGCCTAATAACGTCTAATTCAAAGTTTCAATGCAAACATATTTCAATAACATCAGATAGAATGCAGTTATTTCTCGAGAAAAATTTCATTTCAAAAACTCTGTTGTGAATTTAAAACACCATTTCCATTTGCACAGTCTCGTCCTCCCCAACCCAAATCTCACAGAATAGGGAAGTAGAGGTACCCACAAAGAGACAGAGGCAACAACAATGAACACCGAACAATAATTATTCAATGACATGCGACATCGAAATCAGAAGCGTTTTTGCTATAGAAACGATCTATATTCACAGATACAAACGTTTCTGAAGCAATCACACTGATCAAATGAAATTATTATTAACCAATATCATTCTCAATTGAATTGTTGAGAACTACCTGAGGCTACAGGGGCTCACATGAAATGAATCTGCTAGTTGAATAGGAATGAATTATTCAGGTAGTGGGTTTGATGGAACATGGTGGTATTTTGACTCATATTGATGAAATAAGCTTTATTGAAATATTGCCCGAGGATATTATTTCATAGACGTACAGAATTGGTATTCTGGTTTTCATAGTTTTCACTCTGGTAACATTATTCATTTTTCACATTCAGATTGATGAACCTCTCCTATCATGTTCATTTTTGTTAGACTTTCATTCATGAAAGCCCATGAGACCCAGTCAAAGCGCTAACCAAAATAAAAATTATGCGTTTTTTGTCGACAGATTTTTTCTAATTTTATGAAAAATACTTCTGCACCATAACCAGAATATTAGTATTCGTTCTGATGTACAAAATTCAATTTAACTTTGTTGTTAGTTGATGAATATCTGATTGTTTTCAATTCCAGAGAAAGCGTTTTCTGACGGATTAAAAGTTATAAACTGCAGATAATAATAAATTTGTTTCATTTCAAATCGTTGTATACATTATTTGTATTTCAATCAGCCTCAACCGATATTTATTAATTTATTTGGATACTGAGTTTCCGAATTTCAAACACATGAAAGCGGATTCATCAGAGAATAATGACTGCCATTGTCTACCCTGTCACAGACGTATAGAAATATTCAATTTTCGAAATGTATTGAAATAATACGATTAATTCAATATTTTGGTTTGGGGATAATAGATTTCAGAGTTGACCTATTAATCATTCTCCCATTGATAGTAATGAATAATAATGGAAAAATACTGTTGATATTGAGTGACATTCCGACATATTCATTCCAGAATATGAATCTGTTGTGGATCCAGTAATAACAACATCGACTAAAATAGAATGAATCAGTAATTGTTTCCATAACAATAAAAATGAAAATTGAAAAAATTATATTAAATGTCCTTCGTATATATTGGAAAGACCAGACTTGACAATATTGAGAGTATACCCAATGCTACTCCTTTTTTTCAATTTGAAATTTTGATGAACTTTTGAGAGAAATATACCTACTTTTTTGTAGTGAATAATTTCAATCACCTTTGATATGTTAATTTTGTTTCATTACTCTGAACAGATAACATGATCTTCTGGCAGACAGTTGGGAGAGCAAATGAATTGGGAGCGTTCTGTCAATGTTGCCAACCAAGATATTTCGTGTGAAAATACTGTGTTAATGAATATGGTAAAATTATAAATAATAAGATGTCTATACTTCGTGAACAATTTTATAGTTGTCCTAGGTTTGAGTTGAGTACAACAAATGAACATTTTCAGTTTTGAACTAGTTTGACACAATTTAATCTCCTTCGGAGATTTTTCGTTTTATCAATCATTATTTGTGTATCTTACGTGATTGAGGTTTTGTTCAGCAAAATGTACCATTGTTCTATTTTGGAATAGACTGATATGACACATAATGACCTAATCATTGATTTTTTTCGTCATTTTTGTATTTTTTTTTAACTAATTTTATCATTTTAGAAAAATTCTTGAATTCCTATCCGTCCGTGATGATGTTCAACATAATTGGCATTTTTTTATATTGAGAGGTTCGAAATAAATCGCATACAGGAGGTCATTGCTTTGATAAATTTCAATGCTGAAAAATTTTGTTTAGGAGGGCTATTGGATTTGAAACAATTCAAAAATGCCAATTTTTATTCAATTAACCAGTTTACTTTGCATCATCACTACAGACTGAGCTGAATTACTTATTCGATCACCGGAACAGAATCTTATGATGCACTGTTTGGACAGAATCGGTTAGATTTTTTGTGGAGTTCCTTGAATAGCAAAGTTTTCATTACCCAGCAGTTTTTCGGTAGAACCTTTTTTTAGGACATCATTGGTATATTTTGAAGAATCACATTACACAATTCATAGTTAGAATAAATATTATTAATATTTTGTAACATACAGAGGTGAATTGAAAAAAAAAATTAACAACCCATTACCATACGTCATATACCTCAATATTTTCAGTAATGAAACTGGTGAGAAATGTTAGAATTTGAAATTTCCATTTGATAATTATGAAGTTTTGAATATATGCATTCAATGAGAAGATCCGTATATTCTTTACACGTTTTTCTGTGGAAGAGCTCTTTGTTTGCTCGAAATTCCCTTAATGTATATCAATCAAAAAAACAATCCATCTTTCTTTATTCGAATAATCAAAATGACAGTTCCTGGAAATTCCTTTTTTTTTCAACAATAATAGTATATGATGTTCTTGAATTTTTCTCATTTGAATCAAAGAAATTACTTTCAAGAAACTATTATTTATGAAGCCAGTCTATCATTTACGAACCCTATAATGATATATTTTGAACCTTTACATATGGTTAGGGATTACTGATATCAGTTTAAAATCCCTGAGTTGTCCATTGAAAAATTACATTAGTTCTGTCGATAAAAACACGCTACATCGAAGGCTACCCTAAGTCTACAAGGAATTTGGATGACCCATCACGAAGTGTGCCCAGGAAAGATGGAAAGAAGTGTGAAAGTGTAAAAGAAGCCGCAGACATTCGTCATATTAAAAAATTCATGCGTCCGTAAAAAATTTCAACTGAACTTTATGTATATGCACACGTTTCATGTTAATAAATTTTTGACGTTACAAAAAAATAGGTTAAACTATTTATCTATCTACAAAACCTGTTAACAATTTGCTTAACGCTACGACAAACGTATTATGATGGCGGTATGTCGTATACGGGGTGTTGGCACTCTAGTTACCACGAATACATCATTTTAAATGTTGTAGTTATGTACAAAAATTGGTTTGGCCTAAATGATTCAGTACTACAGATTAGGTGTCGTTGAAAAAAAATACAACAGTTTTTTGACAGAAAATTATATGGTTGGTGGGGGTACTGAATGAGGAAGAATTGGAAACTCTGACGAAAATGAATCTATTGTAATCACCTTCTCCACACTAGAATAAAAATACTGTCTCTTGACAGTTATGTACAAAAATTGGTTTGGCCTAAATGATTCAGTACTACAGATTAGGTGTCGTTGAAAAAAAATACAACAGATTTTTGACAGAAAATTATATGGTTGGTGGGGGTACTGAATGAAGAAGAATTGGAAACTCTGACGAAAATGAATCTATTGTAATCACCTTCTCCACACTAGAATAAAAATACTGTCTCTTGACGTACGTTTCACAGGAAACACGAAATGACTGAAACAGTGTTAGTCATCTCCTGTCTTGGATTACAAAACGCTCGTCAAGAGATACTATTTTTGTTTTGTTGTGGGAAAAGTGTTTTAAATAGATACTTGATGCGAGGATTTTTCAACAATTTAACAACAGAAACACACAGAACAATCTCAAAATGCTGTCCACTGAGTTGTCACACAATGACTATCTATCATCCTGTTGATAATATTAACAATCACAATGACATTCATGATTATATTAATAATAATGATAGAAATTTATAATTCCGTTTTGATATTCAATAGCTCTGAAAAATTGACAAATAATGAGCATCAAAAATTACTTACATATGAATAAAAATGATTTGATGCATTCTTTGACAGGTAGAAAGGTTGAACGAAAATCATCAGAAATTGTTCCAAAGACATGAACCTCAACATTCAATAAAGACACTGTGTAGTTTATGTGCATGACTTTGATTTTTTCATTCATTCATTAATATATTTACAATCTTGTTCATAGTGACGGAATTGTAGGACTTCAAAATTTGATGTCTACTAGTGAGGGAATTTCGAATTCCTAATTTTATGTTGATAACATATCAAAAAGAAGAGCTTATTTGTTCCGAAAACCCGTGTCGATCGAGCATCATCCTCTACATTGTGTTTACCTTTTGATAAATTCCTGAATAATACTAAATTACCGATTTTTAATCCTTATTTAAATCTACAGAACGTGAGTGTTATTTTTCATTTCAATCCGGATATTTTACAACAATTCATTTCACACAATCAATTTTATGATAATCTTCTGTCAAAAAAATTCTCTTTCATTTTTTTTTTCAAAATACGAAACGACCCTATCATCAAGTTCAGTGAATTATATGTGATGTTTATTCTGAAGGGAGATTTTGACACATTTTTTTCATTCTAGAACTTTTGAACATCTACCACATACTAATTGGATATCCTGTGAATTGCAACCTGTGAGTGATAAATAAAAAATATCGTAAGTTCAAAGAATTTTGCTCGTTAGAGTCCAAACACCCGGTACATGTCATCACAATATATTTGTTTTTTGTTAATTGTTTATCGCAGTCTCTTTTTATGTTTTTGGGGCATTTTTCTGCGTGGCCAAATCAGAGGATAATGACAGGGTTAGAATTTACAACTCATTCCTAGTACTTCAGGATTGATTACGTTTACATTCAGTTCAAATGTATAGTCAGCTATCTTTCAATGATTCATTTAAAATAGTCAACATACAGAAAACAAAACTTTAGTTGTTAAATTCTCTCCCTGTTGAGTTTATGGAGAAATATTGTTTGTTTACAGCATTTTCTGTTGTCTATACGAAGTTATATAAGTTGAGATAATTCCGCGTTATATGGGATTATTGCATTGTATCGAGCAACTCGCTACGTTTCGGGATCATAATCATCTTCAGTTCCGAAAACGTAACGAAGCCCGCCTCATCGTCAGCCGCCGAATTATCTGAAGTATATTCTGCTCAATAAAAATGGTGTTTTCTAAATGTCGGTGAACGGTGATGTATGTCGGCCCGCAGTGAGTGCCTTGTGGTGTCCCCAAATTCATTGCATTACACATTTACTTTCTATTTGAGACTTGAGTTCATTTACTTGTGTCTCTATCGTGTTCTTCAGCTCTGGAAAAATGGAAATATGTAAACATTCAGGTGGGGGATGAATTCAAGTAGTTGGTAGAATAATTTGAAAAATATTCACACTCACTCACAAATGCACAGATATAGTGGAGAAGTCATTGAAAGTTACATTTTTCTAAAAATTCGTGGAAATTGTTGAGTGGAAAATAAAATAATCAATACCCAAACGAAATAATAAAGGAACGGCTCGAAGTTAAACTACGATAATATTATGAAAAGCAGAAAGATAGTTTTGATCTTCCTCTAAACTTTGTGGACACATTAATTTTTGATTGGAGGGTAAAGATTTTCTCCAGTATTCTTGGTTGCTTGAAAGCAAACCAGAACATTTCAATGTTTTGGATGTAATTTTAAAATACTAGTTTTAGTAGTACTTCACTTTCAAAGTGGAGCCTTATAATGCAAAAAACTCATTTCAAGCTAAATTTAACTTGTTTAGTTGCTTTCTTGCTTTGGCTGTACGTTAATATAAGAGTGTCAGTTAATCAATAGGTACCCACTTAGGTAATACTAGCTGTTTCCCGCTGTTTTACCCGCGTTTTCATGGGAACCTAACCTATGTGTTATTCCAGGTCATGATCTATCTATATACCAACTTACATTTGAATCCGTTGAGCTGTTTAGGGATAAAGTAAAAAACGTTTAAATCTGTTTTTTCGTTAACCAGCTGTCGCACCTCTACGAACGAAAACCCTCTGAAGTCGAAACGTGTTCGAGCTAAGGACTAACGACTACCTTTTAACGTGTGATTTCTAACACGTAAATACGTAAATACTCATATTATATTCATCCATACTCACAAACTTCACGCATTTACAATATTAGTTGGAGTAAGATTAGTAGGATTACTAAAGTATTTTATTCTGATCCTATCAGTTTTTTTTTGCAGATGCTATTCAATATTGTATAAGCGGGTACCTATTGATTGACTGACACTCTTATATTAACGTACAGCCGAAGCTACTGAACCTAGAATCTTGAAATATGCAGGTAGGTTCTTTGTATAGCGTAAATAAGCACCAAGAAAGGAAATCAGGAATTTCCACCACCAAGGGGGAAAAATAGGGGTCCGAAGATTGTATTGAATTTCGTCAGTTTTGAAGTTGTACCTATTTGTTCAAAATGGTCTGTCACGAAATTTAATGTGACAAACCAAATTCTACAAATTCTACCCGGGCGAAGCCGCGGACAACAGCTAGTTCAATAAAAACTTTCGAACATAGATGTTGACATTTCATTTTTTTGACGTATGTCAAAAGAATTAGAGCTGTCACAATTTGAGGCGAAAGTTTTATAGTTGATTCTAGATTTTGAAAAAAAAATTGTTTTCCACAACATCGACAACTAAAGAAAGCTAGAAATAATTTTTTTTTTCAATTTGTAGGCAAAATTTATGGATACGACAAGTTACTGACTAATTGGATTCTTCGGTGGTTTATATTACGCAGCATCTTCTCGGGGTGAACTTTTCAGTTTGCTTTTTTTCAGATTGTGGAAGGTTATATATCCAAAAAAACAGTAGGAAAATTACTTTCTTTTTCGAATTAGCCTTTTTATTGTATTCGCCATTCAGGTATAGGCTTTGATTCAATAGAAAGAGAATTGACATTATTGGTCAACAAAGCTTCTAATAAAATTTTCGTCAATAATATTGATCTGTTGCACTTAATTAACGGAAAAATGGTAATCAGTACAAAATTAGATTATTGTAACATGAATAATTGAACAACTTTGAGCAGATAATTCTTTGATTTTCACGTGTATGCTTTTTCAAATACTTTTCTATAAAAAAATAACATGTGCTTCCACAATATCAATATAGTTTTTTTCAGTATAACCTATGTTTGTAGCATGTCTTCTTAACATGATAGTCCACTCTGTTTGTTTCTATCTGAAAGAATAGTAAGACACTTACTAGTAGAAGCAAAAATTTTTGATACTGCGTTTTTGTTAGCTAATCAAGATTATTGTTCAAACTGGCATAATAGAATAATATATTCCACTCAACATTTCCATTTATTATTCTTTCAGCGACTTCTCCATAGCTGAAAGAAGAAAAAAGAATAGAAAACCGTGCATAAAATACTCACCCAATTGATAAATCAGTCTGAAAATCAATGGCCAGTGATTTTCTCAACAAAAACATATGATAAGAACTAAAACGAAACTAATAAATGCAAAAAAATTTATTTGAATTGAAAAACAAATACATGAAAATATAAGTGAAATCATAAGGTGATCAAAAATATAATAAAAGAAAAAAATATACAGCTTTGACGTGGAAGACAAATTCATATTTCTGCTCTATATTAGGAACAAATTCATTTCAGAAGTTTCTAGTGAAATATTATGTGAAATTTGTCAAACATTTCTGAAAAAAGTTAATGATCTGATTCTTGCCAATATAGGTTGAATTAGGAAATACGGATCTGCCTTTCAGTTGCATCAGAGAAATCACACACAGCATACCAAACGCCATAGATCATAGAAGAAGTACAAAACAAAAATAATAACAATCGAAATAACACATTGAAGACAGATAAAACACAAAAACAATGCGTCAATTTTTGGCAATACGTTATGAATATTGTCTTGTTGGAAACTTAGGCCAAAAAGGCACATCTTATACGTTATTGTTGGTTTGTACTTTCGCACAACACTATTATTATCTTATAATATTAATAATAAAAGTCGAACATTTAACATTTAACAGGGATAGAGTTTGAACGATAATTTTAAAAGGTTATAAAAACGTTAATGGGTGTAAACTACAAACTACTAAGGTGTCAGAAAATGTGATATAGTTTGGTTATAAAAAAAATATTACAAATTTCTTTTGAATGTTTAAAATGGAAACAGTCAATGTAGATGAAAAACATGGTAGACCCACAGTCTTCATAAAATACAATCAATTGAGCACCAAAATTTAAAATTAGACTGTAATGATATAATCGTATTATTCTTCCTGTTTGTGTACCTACCTACCTGTTTTAATATATTAATGAAATAGCGAACAATAGTTTTCCTGTGCATATGCTGTTTGTGATAAATGCATAAGGATAATACTTAAAAATTAAGTTTGAAGCTATGAATTGTGCTTATGCATTCCAAATGATCACCATGATATTCGAATGATCAAAACTATAATGATAAATGAGTGTATTTGATTTTGGTTTGTGATTTTGTTTGTAGACTGATAAAACTGAGCTCAAAGTATATCACATTTTCAAGACAGTCTAGATAATGACAGATACAAATCGTTGTTTAAGGAAATTATTGTTTTGTTTCATTGTGCAAGTGTAAGTACGTGAATCACAATTATTTAAAATGACCTGCACCACCATATACTGAAGGTAACTTATCTGGAAGGAACTGATTTGACGCAAACATCTGTCTCAAGAAGTAACATTCGGTCAGACCAAAAGGAAAACTTCTTTCATCGAGAATATCGCAACCAAAGTACTTTCATTGTTTGAATATTGTATTATTGACATTAGGTTTCACAATCGCATAAAATCAGGATGGAAATAATCCACCCATCAACTAGGGGAAGTAGCTAATGTTCAGTATTGACATTTCATCGATCCAACCGAAAGGATGAAGTGAAAGCGAAACATTTTGAGATATACATTTTTTTTTGTATAGGATTGAGTTTAGTGAAATTTTACAAGATGAATGGAAAATGTAGCTTCATGAAAATTTGGTTTTAGTTATGGAACGATTGCGGTCTCTCTGCCGCAAAATAAAACTGCTTTAAGGAAGTTTACTTGAACCACTTCCTTCCGGAACTCTAAAACTAGGTTCTGATTTTGGAAGTTTTGAACATCTGCAACAGAATTGATATATTTCTGCTGAGTAGAATTCATTCAAATGACAAAAATATTTCAGTTTTGTTAAAATTCATTACTCAAACAGAAATACTTCACTAATGAAGTATTCACAAAAAGAAAGAAATAATTAAATTCAGGTTCGCTGGACAAAAAAGAGATATACAGAAATGGGGCAAAATTGAAATAAAATAGAAGTCAAAGAAGTTCGGATTAAAATTTGTTCAAATATGATGAATAGGCGAATTTCAATCAATAATCTAATTGAACTCCTCATACATACATAATATTTGGTATCAGGATATCAGTTTTTGATGTAGACAAATACAAATTTACTTTATTATACATATACTTGTAGAGGTTACCAGAATAAATGAGTTAATGGTAACAAAGGAATATTGAAAATGGATGAATGTTCGAGAAGGTTCCTGAATTGACAATTTGAACTGAGTCCTCCGGTTGAACCCGTACAGTTCCCAAAAGAGAAAATTTCCAACGGAGTTGGAGTAACAAACTTTATTCCTGTCGCAAAAACGTGGGCAAGTTTTTTCAAATCTGACAACAGGTTTGACCGGTTTGTGGATAAGCGATGTGGATGTCATAGGATGAGCGAGATTTTATCTACATACACGATCGACAGTAGGGCAGTGAGTTTGCAGCCAAGAGTTCTGCCTAATCACAGTAATAACTGCTACATCAACTTCATTTTGCAAGCCCTGATCGCATCTTCACCACTCTACAACTTACTGAAGAGCCTGAGCAAAAACATCTCGTAGAACGAGAAAAGGAAATCTCTCTCAGTTAGAATGTATCGTTTTTGTGAGGTAAGTTCATTAATCACCCTTCTACATTAGGACGAAAGACAGGAGAGGGATAAAAAAGCCATGAATGTCTAAGCAGTCATTGTCCACACTGGCATTGCTTTCGGTCCAACGTGGATTTATAAACTGGATTATAAACTATTGAACGGACTCAATGATGGAATATTTGAGTTGGATGGAGATGGTTGAGAGTTAAACTGAAGATAAAAAACCTTTCGTTGACTCTGCTATGGGCAGTGACTCAAGTAATGAGTGGAAGTTGATGGGATCAAAAAATAAATAATTTCTAACCAGAAAGATCGATTTTACCAAAAGGGAGCCTAAAGTCGAGCATTCATCGTACCGGAGACCAAATTACTGAAAAAATCCTCACGCTGCCACTTGAGAAAGAAAAGACTGCCAGGGAAGTGCTTGAGGTACTCGTTTCCAAGAGAGGGGCTCACTTAGTAGAAAACTAACGACCATGTCGAAGCGTGAGACCAAATAATGCTCTGAAAAATTCCCGTTGCCTTCATATTGCATCTGAAGTTTTTCGAATACAGGCAAGATGGTTGCACGAAGATTATCAACGCCTTGGAGTTTGGATCCAACTTAAAAATTGACTCGACATTGGTATCGTCGGAAATAGTCTCCGAAAGAAAAGCAGTCGTTCACCACCACGGCAAAGATGCCAACATGGGACACTATGCGACCGATGTCTTCAACGTCGGCTACAACTGCTGGCCGGGGTACGACGAATCTTCGACAAAGACCGTGCAGGAAATATGCGTACTGAAGCCCCAGGAAACGCCAGTACCTTATTTGCTGTCCTAGAGGCGAAGCGATACGATCCAATCTAAATAACACTACCATAGAGGGATGAAGTTGTTGCGGTTACGTGGGGTTCAGTTTGATTTTTTGTTGGTTCCAGTGGATATTTCATTCCTTTGTTGTTTTAATGTAACTCATATATTTGAAAAAAATGCGGAAAATATGGAAAAAACATTTTATACATGATGAAAGCTGGCATAAGATTATAGAAATAGGGAAAACTTGAACTGAATACACAGTGGTATATGACTAATCACAAAACCTTTGAATCATTGGCAACTACACTTTTGATATAACAATGGTGGCAGATGCTTTGACGAAATGTTGAACAGAAATGATGTAACAATTTGGATAACGTAATCGAAGATGAACACTATTGAAATGTCGAAAAGATGGCAAACAAAATAAACCCTTGAAAAGACGTCATTAATAATATCGATTGGTTTTCAACTTTCATTGTTCAAAACAGTCATGTAGCGCAATCCTTCAAAAAGTCACAATTCACCCAAAAAAATCAATGAATTTGGTTAACGTAAAGAGCAACCTCTATGCTCTTTTATTGATTAGATGAAACCAGAACCCTAATGAATCTTATTTATGATACCAGACAAATGCTTTTTTTTCGACCTGCCATAGATATCATCGTCAGTACTCAGCTGGGCCATGACTTCTCCAACACACGAACAATTGTGAGTGAAATGATATCTACAATGTCACCACATTTATGATCATCGGAATACTTAGATGAATGAGAACTCCTAAGATTCGCTAGTCATCTTCATCTCAATCAGGTTGGAAACTTTTCCCTTACCCTTTCAACTGTCTTTCGTCAGGAGGACGAGTGGTTCATAACGTAGGGTGTTTTGATGGCGACATAAAGGTCAATGCCGCTCTGGCCTTGTGTACCCCTTCCTGATTGGGGTATTAACAGACGTCGTGCGGCCTTCACTCAACCAAGCGACGAAGCCTTCTGAATCGAGTGGGGTCGTCTATAGTGTAATCTACAGCTTCCCTGACTAATGGGTTATCATGAGTTTCCGCTGACTCGAAAACTCTCTGATTCCTCGACTGAATGGACTGCCGTATAGTTAACAGCTTCAAATATCTCCGGATAGCTTCATTCCGCATGAACCATGTAGCATTCACCACCATCCTGAGTATTTAATTCTGCAATCTTTCCAGTATGGAGATGTTTGTCCCCAAGCGCCTGAAGCATACATAATGACAGGCTTGAACATAGTATTGTATAATAAAATCTCATTTTTAAGATTGAGCTCGGACTTTCTGTTAATCAGAGGATAGTAAGATTCGCTACAATAATCTAGTTGAGTCATTGCCCGTCAAATGAGAAATAACTTTCAATCTTTCTGCAGCTTCAATTACAATCTTAGCAGATGATACTAGATCCCAGGGTTCTGTTTTTCATTTGGATGTCATTGTAGAAGCTTGGTTTTGCAACACATCGCCGTAAATTCCTTCTTTATTTTAAATGAACGGTAATTAAGTTTCCAGCCCATTCCCTAGATGGCGTTCTCGTTGGCGAATCATCAGACTGAAATCCCATTGTTGTGATATTATAATCCTAGTTCTACGTTTGCTAAGAGGAATTTGATCATTGGTTTCATAAATCCTAAGACCCGAGTAGGTTTGATTCATTCATCTTTCTGTTGGAACAAACTTTTCGTTCCCTCCAAAAAGTATTTCTTCAGTAGTATGTTGGCTGGCCATATAAGATTTCTGAATGCTTTTCACAAAATAAAGTTGCAGTTCAATGGAATAAAGTTGTGTATTACTTTCGCGTTGTATATTATATAAAATTAAAATGTCAATCTAGTTATCGGGGATCCAAATAACAATCTAGGCGGTGAATATAATTTTTGGTCAACGGTATTGAAATTGGTTTCTGTAATTCAAGCATCTAGCCAACTATACGATACTACATCTTTTACGAAAATTTCTCAGTCGGGTGAAACACTCACTTGTGAACTCGTCTTCGTCCGCTTCTTCTGCTTCTCGCGCCAATTCTTCTGGTGTTTTCTTTTTTCGCATGAGTGGATTTGGTTCTTCTTGAACTGGTTCTACTACCTCTTCTTTTTTCTTAATATTGTACTGTAACACGAAACAATATGCTATTTATTTGGAAAAAGAAAACAAAATAGTAAAAAGTTAGTAATTTACTTATAACTGCCAGATGAATATGATTATCGAAACTAATTTGATAAGATCTAAACATTTAATCGATAAATTTCCATTTTTAACGTAAACTTTGTTATTTAGCAATACCATGAGAGCAATCAACATGATAAAACCATGAGTCCATTAGATGAGTGATTTTATTTATTGCTGGTTGCTCGATTGCTATTGCTCAAAAATAACTTATTGTGAGATTCAAGTCGAGTGGTATCTGTAAAGATTATTTTCTAAAATTTTCTCATCTGATTACATCAATATAAGAACAAAATATCAATTATCAATCTCTCTTGACTTGACATGATACCGCATTAACTGTATGTCGCATATTATTTTCTGTTGAAATCTATTGAAGTCATTGTTTCTGTTAATCAGCTGTCGCTCCCTACGAACGACAACCCTCAAAAGTTCAAACTTGTGCGAGGTCTAACCTTTCAACAGGGTTGGACTATAACCAGTGAAAATAGTTTGTCCGCCCTCCTTCTCGGCTCAAACCACTGTTTCCACTGTGAGCTTTATCCAAATCACCATGTATATTCTCCGGGAAGGTCTACTGACTCGGCCCTTCATCATGTGGTTGTCAAAATCGAAAGATCATTATATAACAAAGAATTCACCCTTGGTATATTCATAGATATCGAGGGAGCGTTTGATAAAACAACCTTTCCAACAATTACCCAGCAACAAAACTACAGGAATGTACCCTTGAGAGCAGGAGAATGGATACTTCAGATGCTCTCCAGTAGAGCAATGAGTATCAATGTAGAAGACATCATAGTGGGAGGAATGTTCATGAGGGGATGTCCCCGTCTTTGGAACATAGTTCTGGATACTCTGATAAATCACCTCAACAATAATGAATTCGACACAATTGCATATCAGATGATATAATTATCATGCAGGCCGGCAAATTTGTGAACACACTGTGCGATAGAGTGCAGTGTGTTCACAAAGCGCAAATTAATAGAAACATGGTGTAAGGAACACTCACTATAGATCCATCCCAAGAAGACTGAGATGGTCCTTTTCACCAGAAAAAAAAAGTTTATTGAGTCTAAAACCTCCCGAAATTTTCAAAAGCAAACTTAACTTCTCTGAAGAGGTGAAATACCTTGGTACTACCCTCGACAGGAAGCTAACATGGAACTCCCACCTACAGAGTAGAGCAAAAAGAGCATATGTGGCTTATGAGTTATGCCGGAGGTCAGTGGGATGCACATGTGGATATTCACCCCGGATCTACACTGGATCTACACTGCACTAATAAGACCTATGTTAACGTACGGAGCCATTGCATAGAGACCGAAAGTTCTACGAGCAGCGGCCATCCAAAAATTATATCAAATGCAGCAATTGACTTGTTTAAACATCACAAGAGCCATGAGGACAACTACAACCGCGGTAATGGAATTAATTACTGGTCTGACCCCTTTACACCTGTACGTTGAGGAGTTTGTGTTGATGGCCATGTTAAGATTGCGCACGGCTGGTGTAAACCTCGAAGTAGAAATGGGTTAATTGAGGCTAAGCCTATGGCGAGAAGCGCTTACTGCGCAACCTCTGCTGCAGGCAGTCAGTGATGCGATTGAACCCAGGTTTGTGTTTAATAAACCCTACAAAATACAAATAAAACAGAACACAGAGTCGGATGCTACATATGCAATAACAACATAACAAACAAATAAATAAAAAACATGACAATCTGCACTGATACTAGCCAAACCCAATTAGCTTTGAACTGACAACGTGTTATCTCAGGGCTATTACTAGAGCGCCACCAAGATTTAGCCAAAGCCTCGGTAGATAATAACATTATCCTGAGGTGGGTTAAAGGGCACGACAAGAGTAAAGGTAATTGCATTGCCGACTCTTCAGCCAAGGAAGCGGTTGGACTAAGAATTTTAGAACCCAGCGACACCTACGTGTCCACCAATTGTGGAACTAGCCAAACGTCACACCCATGCTCAATCCATAAAGAAATCGAATGGAATCAAAGGATGCAATTTTGCCAGAATCACCCTGGGCGATCCTAGGAAGCTGGCGCCGAAGAAATATCTGGCGATGACTAGGAAAAACCTACGCTTAACAGTAGGATTTCTGATTGGCCACTGTCAACTGAGGAAACACCTCCATATTATGGGGCTAGTGGACAAACCTTTATGCAGGATGTGTCAACGGGAAGATGAATCTGTCAGACCTGTCTTAAGCGAATGTCCGGAGTTATCGTCAGTAAGAGAGTGTGTGTTTGGCGAGTCTTGGCCTATACCTGCCAATATGAAGGAGATGTAGTGACCTGTCCACCTTCCTGGAAAGGACAGGACGATGACCTAGGAGGACAACTCTTTGGAGGATGTACAATGGGTCACATGTGGCCTAAGTGATGTGGACCTACACTCACCCTCCCTACTCTACAGATACAGAACGGTCGAATGAATGAGTGGATTAAACCACTCACGCCAACATAACCGACTACCGTCCCGGTTACTAGTAGAATCTTGTTTCAAGTCGAATTCAAAATGTCTTACTATGCCAGTACGTTTCGACAAGTATATTGAGATTTATGATTATCATATGTACTCCTAATATGTTGGTAATGATGGTGGAGTTTGAATTGAAGGATTGCTTTATTTTCGTGAGGTTACGTGAATCAGTGAAGTGTGGCAATTTGTTTTTTATTCTCTTGTTCATTGTATTGGCGAATTTCATCTGATTTACATATTCACTCGAGTTATCTTAGGGTCTAGAGTTAGGGTTAGAGTCTAGTTACTGTCACAAACATAATATTAAATTGAACCTGTGAATTTATGTAGAAGCATTCAGGCAAAGTTACAATATTCAGTTACGAACATATTCTGAATACACTGATAAAATTAGGCATGACTATGCCTCGAGAGATAATGACATCTATATATTAATTTCATGACTGTCAGTTTTATCGATGTTGGGAAAAAGCGTTTTATCGATATAAAACTCTGTTGTGTTGACCTAGTATTGAATTTTTTCTTAATTTTATAGCTTTGAAGGAATCAATTTTGAATTAACATCACTTGCAACCTTGAGATTTGTCTCTCTTCTATAGACACTTTCACGGGAAGTGTTCAAGTGACTTGGCACATTTGATTTCACCAAGAGCGGTACATATCAGAAATACGCGACGGACTGTGGCTACTCATCGTTTTGAGGTTCAACTCAGTACACCTCGAACTTGATTGTACAAGAACTTTTCCATTTGGAGAACGGCGTTTATGTGGAATGAACTTCCTGAGAACGTTTTTCCAAATGGATTTAATCTCCAGCGATTCAAATCCAATGTGAATCACTCCTTTCGCTCAGGCACCGCTCTGAGAACGCCTTAAGGATTTTCCCTTAGTGCTTGTGTTTTCTCCAAAAAAAATTGAAATGTCGCGGGATATTTTTGGCGAAGTACATGGGCGATGATGAAATAAATCTCAGAAGAGATATGAATTTCGATACAATTTTTGAAACTTTTTATTAGTATTATTATAATTTTTGTCTGTAGTTTTCTTGAATCCTGAGTGTATATTTTTTGGAGAGGGTTTCTTGGGGTTTGGATTCTTGTTGAATAAAAGTTTTTCCTTTTTTATGTATATAAAGATGTTTCGTTCACGGTCGCCACAGTTTTTCAATTCAATTTCTTATATTCGAGATACGATGGAAATTTTTAGTCAGTGTGGTACACGAACATCCCCAACCAACTGGTAAAAAATATTATCACAAAAAATGGAACCTTATACAAAACCATATCCCATTACCAATAGAAGAATTCACCAAGGCCATTGAAACAACCTTATCAACTATTTTCGAAATAAAGACTCATTTTTTCAACAACTAGACGGTTGTGCAATGGGATCCCCAATATCAAGTACCATAGCTCAACTTGTAATGGAAGAACTAGAAGAAACTGTCATATCAAAATAACTTATAGTCGTGACCCGTTTTCATTAACTGAATAGGTTGAAATGATTAGAAGCCAAAAGTTGAAAAAAATTATGACTAACCATTTTCAATTAGAAGTCTAAAATATAGTTTATAGATAGTGTATCTTCTTTAGAAAACGGAAAACTGAAAAATGTTACTGAAAATTCTCCAAATCCCTCTCTTTCGTTGAAGAACTTTCACTTGTTGCCATAGTGAAGATATGAAGTCACATTACAGATCGCTGAGCTTGGTGGTGGTATATTGAGATGCAACGATGTAACATTGTATCCATTGTATCCGAATCACTTGTCTATTCAATTACGATGTAACTATTTGCGGTTATCATTATTATTATATAGAGTCAGTGGATGATCAGTGTTTTGTTCTGAGGAGTTAAGTTGAGGCTATAAATCAAGTCGTTCTTTGTTTTGTTCCCTTTTTTCACCAAGCTGGTGCCTTCTTATTTCCTTCCATCTCTTCAACTCAACATGCATGCGTTTTTTTCTCTGGGTTGGTAAACCTATACAGAACCTCCTGTTTTGAACTATGTGACTGTTGGCTTTCTGACTGATCACATCAATCAGTAATACTCGTCTGTTGAATCGTACTAAGGTACTATCAATACCGTAGTGTACTCCTACTCGATTCCGTACTAGTTGCTTCAGCACATCTTTCACACCACGTTTTATTGGTATATTCAGCTGGAACACTTCCATTACCTCGTCTTCGGTTACGCACTAGCGATGAATGTGAAGGAAATCTCACAGAGGCCAGTACGCGTTGACAACTCCATCGACTTTCTAGTCAGGTCTAACTCCTTTGTTGAACCAGCTTTGAAACAGTTTCGTAGAACCCGATTTCATGATTATAGCACGTATCTGTTGTAGAATCCATTCTCTATTCGGAGTTGCATGGTCTAAACCAGTTCTTTCTTTACCAGAATCTACTTTCACTTGGGTCTTAAACTTCTTTTCGGTATG